TCACTCCGCGCTTGACTCAATTGTCCGTCTTTGTCTGTCTGCAATTTTATTCTACTGATTAATTAATTTCGCTTTATCTGGCGCACTTATATACAAGAAGAGAGAGCGCGTAGAAAATACCAGAGTTGTCACGAACAGACATGATCCTTCTAGAATATCATGACGTGTTACTAGCGTCACGTGACTTCCGCTGTCGTAACAATAATAATAAAAAATTTTCATTGTGGTAAACGAAATAATAATTTGATCTAAATAAGTTTTTTCTTCCCGATCTGTAAAAAATCCTGACGTGATAGAAAAAAATTAATACTGTTTTCGAAATCTGCGTAGCTGAATTATGAAAACTGTTATTAAAACCAAAACAACTTTTATGAAGTTTAAATTCGCAGGATGTGTCAGATTTTCGACCAATACTTCCTATACATATTTTAAAGTTATCAAATATTTGATACCAAATTGTGTTTGACTATATATCTAGATAGATACAGTTTTTTAGTTGGTTTGGTTGGGAGCTCTAAATTACCGGTAAGCTTAAAGTTTAAATGTTATCACTGTTTTAGGTTTTTTTCAGCATATTTGTCTTTTCATTTACATTTTTTTATTAGTTTTGTTATATTTTTTTGGGTCTATTGCTTCCATTCTGTGTAGCTAATTGTCTATTTCTTTTAATTTTTTCTAGATTTTTGTCAGAAGGAATTGATGTCACAATACTATTCAATCTCAGTCTTACAATTCCATAACATTCTGATGTTACCTTTATTAGATTATCTACATCTTTAATGGATTCCAGTTCCATCATCAACTGTAGAGCTTCCTTTAAAGAGGTACATCTACTTTGTTACAGCCTAATTCTCATACCCTCACCTATTATGGCATCTAGATAATATGTTCATTAAAGCAGATTGGGAGAACATGGAAACTGTAAACGTTAATGATAATATGTTCATTAAAGCAGATTGAGAGTTTTGTAATGAATGTGTTTGTAAAGAACAGCTAAATTTCTATTTAATGCTTGACACCATTGCAGAAGTATCAAATCAGTTAATTCCAAAATATTATCCCAACAAACCAAAATGGCCTTTTACAAAAGAAATTATAATTTAAAAAAAACGTATGGAATTTCATGAGAATATCATAATTCATATTTTACAACTATGTTCTAAACAAAAAAAAATGGTTTAAAGATATGATTAATCAAAGAATTACAATATTTTATCGTATTTGTAACGATTTGTAAAATAAATAACATAGGATCCTTGTGGGAAAGTTTTTGAGCATACTTATGTGGTCATTAGTGCTGATACTAGTGTTTTAATAAGCACAAGAATGTGTGTGTTTACAAGCAAAGCCACATCGGGCTATCTGCTGTATCCCCGGAGGATAATCATATCCCTGGTTTTAGCGTTGTAAATCCGTGTATTTACTGCTGTCTTACTGGGGGACGAGCACAAGAAAAATGAAGTAGCTGAGTTTACGAGTTTTAATAAAAGTTGGTGTAAATACATTATGAATAGAATCGATAACGATATAAAATTAAACGTCTATTTTTCCGTTAATTACTTGAATTGGATGATCGCCAGTTATACTAACTATATCAGTTCTAATGAATAGAATAAACCAATTTTTTAAAATTAAAAATGCACTGAAAACATTAATAATAGAAGTCTTGGCAATAAAAAATTACCAAAATATTATCGATAAAATTTTCTTAATATATGCGTTTTATCAAAAAGTAGTAGGTTTATCAAAAAGTAGTATTTCCAAGAACTAATACAGCTAAAGGTATGCACTTTAAACTATAGATCAAGTTATGCTTAAAAACTTAACACATTACTATCATCCTTGGAAACTAATGCCAAATTAAACGATATCAGCCCTCTTCAAGGAAAATCACCAAACAACAGCCCGTGTAATAATGCTTACAGAAAGTTATTAATATACTTAATCAGAAACGTTTTATGGTTTTAGGTAATGAAAACTCTTGACAAAATTTGGCATCAAGAGTAAATTTTTAACATTAATTTTACATGCAGTCTTCCTAATAACCAGGTTAAATGTGTTGATATGTACATCTAAAAGTCTTTCTTTTGGTGGCTTACATTATTAAAAGCCTTGGAGGAATCAATAAACAATAGCCACACTTCTGTAAACGTATGCCTATCTATCAATCTGTCAATATTGCTCTATGCCAATTCCAGTAGTAGCATTAAACCCAAGTTCTATTCGGATCTCACTCACTGCAATCATTTTATTCTGTATAATCTATAGTAGAGCCTTAGAAACATGGGATATGAAGCTGATTGTCCAACAATTACTGCACTCAGGATGCTCATAGTATTTTGGAACAGTCATCAGCTCTGACAGAGTCCATCCTGTCTTCTGGCCTCATAACAGAATAGTTATCAGCTTTGATAGAGTCTTTCCTATCTTCAGGCCTCTTAACTGAGAATAGTTATTAGCTTTGACAGAGTCCATTCTATCTTCTGAGAATAGTCATTAGCTCAGGCAAAATCCCTCCAGTTTTCTGGCTCTTTACCTAAGAACAATCATCAGCTCTGAGAGTCCATGTAGTCTTCTGGCCACTTACCTGAGAACAGTCATCAGCTTTGACAGAGTCCAGTCTCCTGGACAGCTACTTGATATCAGACATCAACTCTAACAGAGTACATCTTGTCTTCTGGCTTCTTACCTGAGAACAATCATCTTCTTTGGCAGATTTCATTCAGTCTTTTGGCACTTTAACTCAGTCATCAGCTCAAACAGTGCATTCAGTATCCTGGCCTCTTATGTGAGAATAGTCATCATCTCTGATAGAGTACAATCTTCTGGCCACCTGCACGAAAACAGTCACCAGCTCTGAGAGTCCAGTCTTTTGATCAGATACCTGAGAATGATAACTACAATTTTATCTTCAATTAGATATATTTTTCTTTGAATAGTATGTCACTTTAACTCGTCTCTTAAATGTCCTGTGCCATTCCTCTTGACCTTTTTTTAATTTTCTGTCTTGTTCCTCTAATTTTCTGTATATTCCTACTTGGTCTTTAAAATTTCTGACTTTCAGTTTGTTCTTCTTTCCAATGTTTTATCTTATTCAACAGATTTCCAAATTTGCTTCCTAATGTTATCTTGAAATTGAAAAGTTGAAGTTCTATTATATCTTTGCCAAAATAATCCCACTTCTGAAACGAGTTTTGTAACATGTTCTTTCCAGTCCACATAGCCATAACAATTTCCTCCTTAAAGTTTGATTCAGGCTACTAACACTTGTACACAGTTGTAGGTCTAGGGTCACAAATAACGTTTTCACTTTCAATATACACGAGTTTTGCCGCCCTATGCAAATGCTGACTGTGCCACCCATCTCTCAACGAATTTTTTGTGAATCGTCTGTAGGCAGCAGCAACAGTTATGTTCTAGCTATATGCTTTACTGTAGAATGCTAATTTTGCCTGATGAGGAAGTTTTTGGTCATTCAGGAGTAGCTTGTGACCAGAAGCAATTTTTGAAAGTTTAATTTTTGTCGACTCCAGAAACAGGTAGAAAAAATGTAAGAAAAATAAGAATATGTTTACAGAAAATTGAAAAATGATCAAGAGATAATAGAAGGAACTTTAAGACCTAACCTAAGAGAGATACTAATATTTAAAGTAGAATTAAAAACAAAAATTAAGCTGATTGAAGACAATGTACATATACAGAGAAATTATAATAATAAAACTGAAGCACAAAAGAGACATCAACAAAGCAAAAAAAAATTGGAAAACGAATTGTTAACTACTCAAGCCAGTCACACCTCTTTCTGCATTTCCCCTAGAATTCCAACTTAAAACACCATTTATTACAAAATAAAGAATAATCTATTTGGTATACATATATTAACACTACTGTTATGGCAACTGGACTGCAGGACCTTTCTGGATTACTAAAGTCATGTCACTGTCAAATGCAATTCCAGAAATTAGTTGATACATGCAACTATATCGTCCAATTAAAAAAAGCAATGGTGTATGGTGGAAAGGTACCATGGGAGGTATACCAGCCTAAATTCAAAATCATTTCTCTAATGAATGGGTGGAATAGTGAACAACAACCATTTAAAGGGACTAGCTTGGACGACATTAAATAACTGTCCAGATGAGAGCCATAACAACTATCAAGCATTGGTAGCTGCTTTATCTAACAGGTTCAGGTGACATATCAGAAAAAAAGTATCTGAAGCAAAGTTCCAGAACAGAGAATGAAGGAAAGAAGAGATTTCAGGCTAAATCTTCCACAATTTCATGAGGAACATCTTGGTAATATATTTAATGGCACATGAACAATTTATCAGATTGAGGGAACATAGGAACTGTAAACATTAATGATAATATGTTCATTAAAGCAGATTGGGAGAACATGGGAACTGTAAACATTAATGATAATATGTTCATTAAAGCAGATTGAGGGAACATGGGAACTGTAAACATTAATGATAATATGTTCATTAAAGCAGATTGGGAGAACATAGGAACTGTAAACATTAATGTATGTTCATCTAACCTGTAGACTGTACAGAAGCGAGGAGCTGCTGTTATTGCTGCCAGGAAGCTGTCAAGTGCCATGTCAGCTGCTAAAGCTGCCTGTGATCACATGCGGGATTGGTGGAATGGAACTACAGAGGTAAGTTTGTATTTCATGAAACAGATTCAGCAGGAAATCAGTTATTCTTTCTTCTTAAGATAGCATTGAACTTTTGTCTAGTTTAATTCTTTTCTTGAGCCTCAATTTGTATTTTATACCATTTATACAGGGTTTTTTACTATGTTTCAAGTGCAATGTAATTTTTATATCATTATTTATTTGAACTGCAGGGACGGTTGGTTTCATGACAGTATATCCTGATGGTTGTAATTTTTATATCATTATTTATTTGAACTGCAGGGACGGTTGGTTTCAATGGCAGTGTATCATGATGGTTGTAATTTTATGTCATTTATTTGAACTGCAGGGATAGTTGGTGTCAATGGCAATGTATTGTGATGGTTGTAATTTTATATCATTGTTTATTTGAACTGCAGGGATAGTTCATTTCAATGGTAGTATATCCTGATCTTGGTAATTTTATATCATTATTTAGTTGAACTGCAGGGACAGTTTGTTATGATGGTAGTGTATCCTGAGGGTTGTAATCTTATATCATTATTTATCTGAACTGCAGGGACAGTTTGTTTCAATGGCAGTGTATTCTGATGGTTCATACAACGTACCAGCTGATGTTATGTACAGCTTCCCAGTTCAAATTGGTGCTGATCGTCAGTGGAAGATTGTGCAGGGTTTGGAGATCAACGATTTTGCACGGCAGAAGATGGACCTAACTGGACAGGAATTGAAACAAGAGAAGGAAGATGCCCTTTCTGTGTGCCAGGATTGACTAACTCTGCAGTCTGAGTCAAAGTTATAGCTAATATACAACGGTTTTGTAGGAGCAGAGAAGCAATGATACTAGAAATGCTGATAAATATATGCATGATTTATAAATTTCACATCACTAATTAATATGTTTGTATTTTTATCAAGAGGAAAATATTTTGAGCCACTTGTTACAGCTACATAACTGTAAGCACTTTAAGTGGTTCCGAAATATGACCATAGATTTTACTATTATGATTAAAAAGTTAGTTTTGTTTTAACATTTTCTAGTTCACAGTCAAGTCTGGTGTTTGCAGTATAATTCTCATAGAAATAAACAAGGTTGAACTTACTTACTGAATGTGGTTTACTACATAACTTGTAAGCAGATAGTGTTACATTACTTAATATACATTTTCAAACAATTGGGCAGTTAAAAAGTAAGAACATTATAATTACATCTCTACAAGTGTATAGAATCATGGATAATGTCATCTCCCAGAGTGTATAAATAACTGTTCAACAATCTCTACATAACTGTATTTACATATAAGTTTGGTCCAAAATACTTGATCTTCAGATGACACTTAATATCATGCAACATTGTGGGAACTCTAAACATTAATGATAATATGTTCATTAAAGAAGGTTGAGGGAACATGAACTGTAAACATTAATGATAATATGTTTATTAAAGCAGATTGGGAGAACATGGGAACTGTAAACATTAATGATAATATGTTTATTAAAGCAGATTGGGAGAACATGGGAACTGTAAACATTAATGATAATATGTTCATTAAAGCAGATTGAGGGAACATGGGAACTGTAAACATTAATGATAATATGTTCATTAAAAAAGTCTAGTTATAGATGGAAC